TGCGATATGAAAAAATACAGGAATTGAAGAAAAGACAGTTTCTTTTGTCCGTAAACCATCCTTTCTTGAACTTTAAATGCTATACAATTGGTATTTCTTTAACTATATTTAACCAAAAAATAAATTTAAATGTGAATAACGTGCATGCGCATAACGCGATTATCGTCATGACACGATATATCGTGCAGCCCTAACATGCGTCACACGATGGATACAAGTTTGAGTGTAAAAACCTCCTATAACATGCAACTTAAAGCACAGGATACGTTAGTTAAATACTGGAGTGACTGGTTAGTAGGCATTCTCATGCTATCTGTTCAAGCTCTGGCAGCAGATAGGGGTGCTCTCTGTTGACCAAATACAGTACCTGAGCGCTGAATCTGTGAATGTCATCGGAGGCACTGACTAGCTCAACGGAGGAGAGGGAAGAGGAGTGGCTATGGGGCTGTCCAGCAGAGAGGGAAATGGAAACAGAAAAGAATAAGAAACAAAAAAGAAAGCGGCGCCAGTGCAGAGAACAAAATCACAACCTGGTCAAGAAGCTCTTCATATGAACAGCTTATGATTAGCAGCTCCAATGATTACAATAAGCACAAACTGATTCTCAGTGAGGATAGATTACGGTGAAGCATGGACTCATTATGAGAAGCTCAGAGCTTTAAAGAGCAACTTGCAGGTTAGAGACACCAGTGAATAAATGTGTAGGAAAATCATGAATACACTAGATTTTCAAAAAAATATACAGAAATAAACACGACAGTAACATCTGGCGTCGTTTTAGTAGGACATTTTCACTTCCGCATAAAAAAGCCTCCGCACGTGACCTCCCGCGTGTGACGTAACATGGGGGAAACAAGGGAGAGAGCGGCCGGTCTAACGTATGAATAAACATGGATCACAATGCTAGTTTTGACACAGAAGAGGTTGAAAATATATATTCGAATGCATATGATTATAATTATGAGCCTGCTAGGCGTCCAAGAGACCAGGAGCAGCCATCGGAGAGAAATGGAGCTTTGGTGTGTGGAGAACCAGTGGAGAACAGAGCAGCTGTCTTGGTGAGTGACCGGCGTTAGCATGTTAGCTAACGTCAGTCACATCACAACATTGTAAAGTTAGCAATCATACATCAGGCTATAACTAAAGTAGTATTGATAATATAGTAACGTTACTGGCAGGACTGTTGATACTGATCCATAACAGAACCTAATGCGCAAGTATCAGCCGTATCTCGCGTTACCTAATGCAACTCCACACTACGTCTTACGGTGCCGTGTACCGGAGGGGAGAGAGAGCAGCGAAGGGGGGGAGAGAGAAGTAATACGGTTTCCTGATAAAGCTGTGGAGAGTATGTGCTGCAGGGAGGTGGATGCACAACGCACCCAGGAACGAACGCTAGCTCCAGTCCTTTTCCCGTGAGGGAAACTGTGGACCTGCACAAACTCCAGCTCACCATGATTACAAATGGTGAAACGCAATGTAAAATTACCGAAAAAGTACCAGCTCACTAAATCACAACCGCTCAAACCAACTACAAACTACTACCGCGGATTGGGCAGAGAACGAGTCCGAGAAAGTTAACTCCCCCATGTGACGTAATATGACGCGTTTGACGTTAAAAAAAAGCAGTTTTTAGTAGCAGAGGTCAAAACGGCTCCTTTCCCTCTGACTTCCTGCCCTTATGTCTTGTGAAACATATCAAATCCTGCATTAACATTTTTAATTGTAATTTTCAGGCAAGGTTAAGCATAAATGTAGTAAAAAAAAAAAACCTGCAAGTTGCTCTTTAAAGACTTCAGAGTGATGAGACCTGCATCAGCTAGCCCAAGCAGAACGGAAACAAGACGTCCAATGATAAGACAAATAAGAAATGTGATGAGCACCTTGATGGCGTATCGGTGTGTACCGATGGTGGAGTAGGCGTCACCCGGAGGAACGGGGCTTAGTCGAGGTATCCTGACCTTCTCCGAGTGGCACTGAGGGACAAAGAGAGAGACGATTAGGAAGATACAACAGAACAACCACGCCCTCTCAGCACCCGTGTGTCATTTGTCATGGTTTAAATGTGTTGATAGGGAAGAGAGGAGCAGGACAGGACATTGAGTTTAGCTTCATCCCACCTGCTCCTCTATCTTGTCCTGTCTGTCCAGAGCAGCTTCCACCGCATCGAAGAACTCTTCCTCATTGATCAGGCTGTTGGGCCCCTCCTGTGGAAAGCAAACGATGTCAGCAACGGAGCAGGAAGATAAAAGTGCACACGTGATGTCGCTTATCAGCCGTTTCTAATTCATTTATGGTTTCTTATTTCATCTCGCCTCGTAGTCGGGTCCTCCGTAGTGGGACTTTTTCTTCAGCTCATTCACCGCAGACTTGTAGGCATCTTCTACCCTCTTCCTCTTCTCCAGCTCCTGGACACACAGAGAGGGTTGTTATTGCAACTATATTAAACAATAAACCACAGCGTGTGAAATAGAAAATGTTCATTTAAACAAACTGTGCTGCATTGAAATGGAGATCCGTTTAACCTTTGACAACAATCTACAGGAATTCATGTCGCAGAGTCAGATAACATGTTCACTCTGTGACAAAGCCTCTTTGATCAGATCACAGGAGATAAAGGGTAACCAAAGTGGAAGGGTAGAGAGGGCAGCATGTCGCCAACGATTGGTCGAACCCACTACGTGCATCATTCAGCTGTGTGCGCTGGAAACAGGTTTTACTTAATGTGTCATTACCTGCCAGAGTCTCACACAATCAACCAAGTGAAGTAAAAAGAACAGGCTATCGCTTTAAAATCAAGAACTAGAGATATCCTATTACTATTAACACCTTCTAATACTTTAAGGCACTGAAACATTACAAACCAGAGTATGAATTTGGTTTCTCTGCCAGTGGAAATGATTCAAAACAAGCGTATTTAATTTAATGTGTAACTGAAACCATTGAGGAAACCAGACATAATGCAAAAAGAGAAAGATAGCTAATCGTGGATTAACATAGCAAAAGCAATAGCGGATATTAAACTAAACACAGTAAGCAGAAGGGTGTGGACGTACACCACATAAAGAACAAGAGGCGAACCTGTTGTCAGCTGTGTCACCACCAGACTGACGGAGAGACCTACTTTAAAGAAAAGGCTGCAGGTCTGTAGAGGTATCCATCTCTGTGTCTGGTACTTCAGCTGCTCTGCCCTCTTTTGAAGCGAAGGTTTCCACAAACTGACCCATGAAGTCTTGGTAGTCATTTTTTTTTTTTTTTAAATCCCCTCTTGGTGTGAGTCTTGTTTCTTCGAGAACGTGTTCTGAACTGTTTCTATTTCCCTACTGCGGCGGCTCAGCGTCACACACATAACCAAACACAGATAAGATTGAGGTAGTTTCACCCGAGCAGTCAAACCAACTGAAAGCACTTCCCGGCTTTTGTAGGTTTTAGGGTTGGGCAAAACGCATTTACACACTGGAAGAAAAAAAACTGGTTTGACAACATAAGCTGAGCTGAGAAGGATGTGAGCATGAGGAGTGCCTCTAAAGACACAGAACGCTCTCTAGATAAAGCTGAAGAGATGGAAACAAAAGGCACAACTCCAAATAACAATAGAGTTAAAGCTCAGTGTGAGAACAGGTGTATCGTTGCTTCTGGTGGGCTATTTTGAAACTGGTCTAACGTCACCTAAATGATGTCAGATATACCGGTAGTTGTTTTTCAGTAACAACCTGTACAGAAGCTTTATTAAAAAAAAATTGGTGATCTAGACGGTAGAATTTGACGACACTTTGCCAAACCTTTTTTAAACACTAATTAAGCAAATATTTATTTCACACCACCTTGCTTTACAATTGCAAACTTGGCAGCTGAACTGGGAGCTGTATTGCACAATTTCTTGCTAAATTACCACCCTCTAGAGCAGCTTAACATGTTCCACAATTCGCCTCATCATCAAACCACAACTTCATCATCTAAAAGGGCAACAGTACTAAACTCTTGGTCATAATAACCAACTCCCTAAAGATGATGGAAGGCAGCGATTAGTAGGGATCGTTAAGGTTTTAACGGTACTACTACTTTTATCGATACCGCTTATCGGTCCGGTCTTTTGACGGTACTCTTATCGGTTCTTTTGGAGAGAAAAAATAAGGTAAACTAACTAAACAAATTGTGAACAAAACTAAAACATTGCTTTTTATTTAAATTAAATAAATAATATTTCACATCAAAAGAAACAACAATGCTTTAACAAATCGTATTAAATAGTCTGATGTCAGAATGGCTGAAACTTTAACAAAATAAATAACTGTTACCTCTAATCATTAACCCATGTTTGTATCATTGAGTTAACTCCGTGTGGTGCTGCTAGCATACATAACACCTGACGTGGAAACGTTACTCGTGGATGGGGCTAAAGAGCTACTAGAAAGACGGTCGAACCCGGTGCATTCCTCCGTCTGGATGTGGAGCACCTTTGCTAAATGTTTAGACAAATTGCTCGTGTTACCGCCCTTACATGCTAACCTCTTATTGCACTTTAGGCAACGAGTATTGAGACGGGTAAAGTTTAACCACACCTCGGAGCACGTTCTCTCGGCCATCTCCTCCGTGTGTGTGTTGCTGCATGTAGCAGCTGTGTGTGTAAACTGCCCCGCCCCCTCCCAAGCAGGCGGGGGAGAGAGAGAGAGATCTCTCGTCTGGATTGGAAAGATCGAAAATACTAAAAATAATCATAGACACATTTTGTATATATATTTTTTACATGTCTAAAGTGCCGATAAAAAGACCGATAACGTCGGAGCTTAACGGTACCACGGTCTTTAATAATTCAGCCCCGGGGCCCGTTTAATACCGGGGCTCGGTACCCGTCCCTAGTGATTAGCTTTCTTTAAACCTCCCTCACAGCACAGACTGCTGACACGCCCACTCAGGAAACATGACACGACATTTAGCACACTGAGTGATCTTAATCTGTGTGTGTATGTGTATGTGTATGTGTATGTGTGTGTGTGTGTATGTGTGTGTGTGTGTGTGTGTGTGTGTGTGTGTGTGTGTGTGTGTGTGTGTGTGTGGAGTGCGAGGCCGTACCCTGTCCACTCTCTTCTGCCAGCTGTCCTCTCTCTTCATCATCAGCTCGATGCAGTGGGACAGAGTGGAGAGGATGCCTGCCGTGGTGGCCTTGAAGGTGATGGCCTCCCCCTTGAAGTCTATTCCATTCATACCTTTGGGACTGGCAGGTGGAAACACTGGCACGGAGAGAAACTAATAAATAACCGAGCGTGACAGCTTCCTCGTGACTTGATGTGACACACAGACTTGTCTAGCATTTCACAATCAAATGATTTCGTTTTTTATAAATATATTTTTTTTCTCACAGAGATTATGAAATAAAACAGTTAACTGCAGTTCAACTCACATTTCTCTTTGCTGCCATTGTTGTTGTGATTACATTCACCGTCAGTTCTTGTAGTGTTGGGAAAGTCCTCTTCATCCTCTTCTTCTTCTTCTACAGGTAAGAGAGAAACAGCCATCTTAGATACATCTATCTGTCCAGTTAAGCACATTTTAAGATGGCAGAAATACCTCAACCTGGCCATATTCAACAGGTGTCTTCACATCTCCACAGTTGCTAATTGCTTTCTTAAAAGGTCCCATGTCGTGGCCATTTCTACTGATCATAACTCTATTGTTGAGGTCTACTAAAATACATTTATATTGTGCAAGTTTCTCAAACAGCATCTCTGTATAGTGTGTGTATTCACTCTCTGTCCTCAACGGCTTGTTGGAAAAACCTTCACAAGGGGACGGGTAATAACCGGAAAAGCATGACATGGGACCTTTAATTGGTCAATTGTTGAAGACAAAACGGTTAATTTCTAGCAAAAGCATCTTTCAGATTGAAATACATATTTGTTAAACTGAGTGGTTTCAATATGAAAGTGATTTTGAAGTATACAGAAAGCCTTTGCCTCAGCGATTAAACAACCCACAAAGTGCCCTTAAAGTGGATATCGATTTTTGTTTCCGTATCAAGCACTCTCCTTTAACTCTCAAACTGCATGAAGCCTGCAAAGCTACATCTATAAAGTCTTTCCTTGAATAGTAGACATCAACACTGATTCCTCTTTGTCCACACTGCTCTAAATATGTATAATATAATATATCTTACCCTACTTATAACTCATTTAAAACCTATTTTTAAATACATATCTCAAACTATACAGGCTTTATGCCACAGGTTACCTCTATCTCTCTGAAATTCATCTTTGGAGACAACGTCAGCACAGGAGTCAAAGTATTTCTGCAGCGTGTCCACTTGTCTGCACAGAATGTCCCGAAAGGTTTCCATTTCAGCGAGCTTCTCACGCAACCTGTGCCCCTTCTGAGCGGAGAGAGACAGAAATAAGAAGTGTGAGCTGTCAGGGGAAAGATTCATTTCCGTTCTATTGTTTAAACACAAGGCAAGGTCAACATAAAAAAGTTTTCCAAATTCTTTCAGCTGACAAAGGTAGTAACAACAGATCTAGCCTTTAGCTGGTAGTTTCAGAAGAGGACTTTGTAAAGTTAAAATCTCTATTGATGGAACTACGGTAGTTCAGAGGGACTCAAAACATTTACTGTAGCATCTACAGTCTGGTGATCATTGTGACACCTTAAGCAAATATTTATATTTGAGAAAAGTCGTTTGTTTTGGCATGATGGCATATTCTTCTTTGAATATCATTTAAACTTGTACCACTGTTTTTGTAATCGTTTGTATATTGGACTATGTTATGGTTATATTTTATTCTCTGTGGGAGTTTGTCCTTGACCGATGAGAGGCTCTAAAGGACAGAGGGTGTTGTATTCTCTACAAACTGTTAAGGTCCCTAAGACAAATAGATGTATTGATTGTAACTACCGTAATTTTCGGACTATAAGGCGCACCTGAATATAAGCCGCAGCAGCTAAATTGAATGATGTGTACATATATAAGCCGCACTGGACTATAAGCCGCAGGTGTTTTAATGTTTCATTACCATATGTAAGGGTTCGTGCACAGAGGGGATTGTCGGGAAAGAGATGGCTGTTTGAGGAAGCTCCCATTTATTAACATTTCAACAAACAAGTTGCATATTTGCATAACGTATTCAAATGTTACCATTTAGTGCAATAGTAGCTACAGAACATGTACTGTGCTGTGTAAACTGTACTGTATCACATAGCGTTTCAGACACACAAACTTTTCAACTTTCAAACTTAAACGGTGCGCTCCCAGCGCACGTACCGGCAGTGATCTACAGCAGTGGTTTTCAACCAGTGGTACGGGGACAAACTGTCTCGCTCTCGTAATGTCTGTCTGTCTTGCTCTCGTTCTGTCTCTCGTACCACTCTCGGTTCCACTTTTACTTTTGCGCGCTACCTGTCTCACTCTTTTCCGGCCTCCAGCTTTTCCTGCTGGAACCCGCCGCTTAAAGGTGGGGGGCGCGGACCGGCCATAGAGCCCATAGAGTTAAAGGTGGTGGACTTTAACCTGTAAAATCCATAGATTTAGGAGGTCCCCTAGTGGCCGTTAGCTGTAAAAATCCATAGATTAGCCGCACCGTTATATAAGCCGCAGCGTCGAAAAATTGAAAAAAAGGCGCGGCTTATAGTCCGAAGATTACGGTACTACTAATACCAGTAAGATGCTTGAAGTGTCGTTCAAAACAAGTTTTTGTTTTAAAGTGTACTCAAATGAAGTTTTATAGCATATGGCATACTTCTCAATCATCAGGTTGGTAGGGTTGGGTCGCTGTAACTTACTTTCAATGAATGTTCTTTTTAAAGCTGCCCGAGTACATCGGGTCTTCACAAAATGTTTGGTATTTCATGGAACTTGATTCAGGACTAAGATATGCTCGCAGACTAAGGGGCCTAGAAACCTGGTGCATTGGATAAACAGCCACTACAGTGGTGTTCTTACCTTGAAGGAGGATGTGGACGTGGCGGACAGGGCACTGGCTGCTGAGGTGAGAGACAACATGGACCCATGACGCCTGAGACTGCTTTCTGAACCGTAACCCGACTCGGCCTGGATTGAGGGAGAAAACAGACAGAATGAGGGAGGGAGAGAGAAGGATGTGAATAATAAGAATAGAGGAAAACAAAGGGAACAAAGGATCAGTATGTGCACAAGACATATTTAACAACCTGCAATATAGAAGGAACGTTAAAGACAGACATAGAGGGGGAGATCAATTCTAGCCGTCTGCAGCAGCAGTGAGGAATGCTGACCCAGATTAGAGCAGGGCCTCCACCAACACACACCTACACACACCAACACACACCTACACACACACACCTACACACACCTACACACACCTACACACACCTACACCTACACACACCTACACACACCTACACACACCTACACACACACACCTACACACACACACCTACACACACCTACACACACCCCGTCTGCTGACAAATGCCCAGTTGCATCAAGACAGCCAGTATAGCTGATACTAAGTGGTTAAGAAACACTGAGTGGACAGATCTAGCATTGATTGAAGGAAGTAAGTTTGTTTCTATCAGCACACACATTGTACTGTCTCACATAGCGTTATTATACAGATCCACATTATGGCCTGGCTTTAGAGAGGGAGGGAGGGAGGGAGGGAGGGAGTGGCAGTGATTTCATCCGTTCCATTAAACAGAAAACTTATGACGGGGCGATGCCTGGGACTGCCAACTCAGCAGCTTTTTAGAATACACAGAGCATGTGCATGCACACCCAGCCAACCCAACCAAAGCCAATATATTCTTGTGTCTCCATCATGCAGCTGTTAGCAGTTATCTACTCATTTAGAGAGGGAGACAGCAAATTAATGACCCAACATCATGATCCTAAAGTTAAATTCACACATTTCTTCCAACCAGTAGACACAGTAATGTGACAGGCTAAGGTCGGAAATGGTTCTACGTATAAATCAGGATACTAACATCAGTGTTAGTATGCATCGATTCAATTAAATATCGACCGCCACAAATAGATTTTTTGTTGTTGTTATAAATTGTACATTATATTTTTGGGAGAATAAACCCCACAGATCCTCAACTCCGGTGTGTATTCATTAACAACGCAACGCAGAGCAACAAGAACGTTGTCTGCTACAGTAGCCATGAACTCGCATGTATTTTGTTATTTATGGGGGGGGTGGATGCGTGGGCCACCCGAATAGGTTAAGGGGCCTTCGGCTTTTCTTGCCGGGGGGGTGGGGGGGGTTCGGTGGGAAACACTGAACATGGTTGGGGCATGTTTTAAATGTATGTTTGTTGAGGTTTAGTCATGGCCTCAAGGGACTGTAAACCCACCCTGTTCACTAAGTGGCATGCTGAGGGAGAACAGTGAGGGGGGGTCAGGTGACAGGCATGAGAGAAAGCAAACACACATTCCTCTCCTCAAAGGGCTTACAACACTGACGGCAGACAAATAGATTTCACCCTAAATAATGTTGAATAGATAGTGATCTGAGATGTAAAGTGCTCAACATCAGACCAACAAAAGAAAGTGTCACTATTTGCTGTCAAAAAGGTAGGTTTACTTTCTTACAATCCCAATGCGGCTTTTAAATTAAGAGTAAAGTAATACATTTAGGCATTTACCTAGTTTAAACTGACCGCGTCAAATAATGTAGGATTGGAAGCAAAATATTACACAGGTGGTTCATAAGGAGAGTTTAAAACATACCATGAATTCATACAAATACGCTGCATTCGATAATATAACAAGAAAGCTCAAGCCATAAAAAATACCTGACGATATCTAAAAGTAATTAAACATTGCAACATTCAAAAAGATAGAATAAGGAACATTATAATAAAAAATGAAGAAGAGCTGCTCAGCCAGATAACGTGTTATTGTCTAAAGACTGTCTATAAATGCGCATACACTATTTCCAACGTGCTGAAAGTTTTAAGTGTTAAACTGTCAGATCTCCAACAACATGCTGCTCTGGCTTGGGCTGGCTTGTCACATTGCTAAAAAAGGTGATTCTTTCTTAACATTTGAAACAGAAGTCAATGATTGTTGACACTAACTTTTTGTCTTCCAAGCGCATAACATCACCTGGCTTAAGCAAATACTGAACTGTTGATACCTGCAGTGCAATATGGATTTCATTTCGTAATGCAATTGCACAATGATTCCTTTGCTAAACTATACCATCCTCATTGGTACATAACCATGCTTCAACACGTCAAGTACTTAAACAAAGACAACCTACATTTCAACAGCCGAGAACCACAGTTGGGCGGTTACACGGGTAAAGTAACATTTGACAGAAAGTTAAAACGAGCAAAACTTTGTCTAACAGCACTGTCCTTCAGTTTTTAAATCCAACACATTTACATAATGCATGGGTTACTGAAATATAACAACAGCATATCCTGGTTTGGGCGTGTACCAAGAGCTAAAGCAATAGACTGATGAAACATCCTACACAAGGTTGTGGTAACACATCCAAACAAAACTACTTGGTAAGGTTTAGGCGACAATTTGACTTGGATACGTTTAGTTAAATATAAATGGTTTGGCTTTGAATAAGTATAATTATATTATTAAAGTTACAGACTTCAATTAAAACAAGGGAACACACCTTGG